CTCTCTCTCTCTCTCTCCCACATTTTTTTTTGTTTCCTGGGGGTTTTTTGTTTTGTTTTTTTACTTTTTGCTTTTTGTTTCTTCTTTTACTAAATGACTTGTGAAAGATTCATTGCTTGGGCAGGCTCATATGGGAACTATGGGTTTGTGGCATTGTTGCACTGAATGAACGTCCCCCCATTCCCTTTGCTTCCCGTACTGCAGCCATGTGGTTGTCTTTGTACTGATGTGCTACTCTTCCTTTGTGGATTTTTTTAAATGCTGGTGTTTTTACGCTCCAATGGACATAATTTAGACAATTAAGACCATTTACTAGGCGGGCTTCTTTAGGGCCGACCGGGGCTTCTGAAAGTGATACAGCGTCCTAGCAGATTGGAAGACCGCGATACTAAATAGAAATTTCCTGCCCGTTCGGGCATCGAACTCAGGTCTCGTGCATACGACAGCGAAGCACCTCACCGCTACACCACAGACACCATTGTTTTTCAGATGTGCTCCTCGTAGAGTCGAGTAAGAATAAATTTAAGAAAAAAAACACACAACAAAAACCCCAAAAAACCCCAAAACCCCAAGACAACAACAAAAAGAAACAGAGGATTAAGAGTAACAAAAGGCTATAGACTACCAAAGATACTACGTTCCAGCGGCCATCTAGTGCTCTGATAAATAATGCATACCGTCTGGCCCCCGCGAGTGCGCGGCGGATCGGCTGCGGTGTACGCTCAGAATGATATAATATAGATCTCAGCATTTATTTTTATATTTCCTCCTGGTCTTGGCCTAGGATCGAAGTGCACGCACGCACGCATGCACGCACGCACACGCACTCATGCACGCACGCACACGCACTCACACACACCCGCGCGTGCGCTGATACATGTATTATATTGTTGACAAACCGTTCAGCTGCTCTAAGACCATAAAGTAACACTTTTTTTAAAGAGAAAAAATTGTTTCATTCTTTTATTTTACATTATTTTGTTTTAACTCTTGTTGTTTCCCAACGGGTAGAATTTGAATTTTAGTTAAATATGTATCGATCATTGGCAGCCGATACAGTAGATTAAAGCAATTGATGCAATTTGTAGGGGTAGGTAAAAACAAAACAGGTTTATATTAGCGTGCGCTTATGTTACATTGTTGACAAACCGTTCAACTGCTCTAAGACCATGAAGTCAAGTTTTTTAAAATTTCATTCTTTTATTTTGCATTATTTTTTTTACTTTTGGGTTTTTCCAACGTTTAGAATTTGAATTTCAGTTAAGTACTTATCGATCATTGGCAGGCGGTACAGTCGATTAAAACAATTGATGCAGTTTGTAGGGGTAGGAAAAAAAAGAGAGGACAAAAAAAAGTAGACTTAATATATGGACTGCTGGCCGACGATATATTATTTTCAACACCTACGAATTGAACAGTAAGTTTCTGACTCGTATTGCACTCATGATTCCCCGACATTTTTGCTTACTCTGTGCACAGAGTTCAGACACACTAATATACATTTGAAATAAATACACGTGCTTTCGTTCCAAGTTCTAGCAGCAGTCACGTTCTTGCACCGTGATAACCTTCTCTCTCTCTCTCTCTCTCTCTCTCTCTCTCT